TTTGGCTTTTCTAGGAGTGAAGATGAATCTTGTGTGTATGTCAAGGCTAGTGGGAGTATAGTTAGCTTTTTGGTATTGTATGTGGATGACATACTACTCATAGGAAACAACATTCCAACCCTGCAGGAAGTAAAGTCCTGGCTTGGGGAAGTGTTTCGCTATGAAGGACCTTGGTGAAGCTGCCTATATTTTGGGGATAAGGATCTTGAGAGATCGGAGTAAAAGACTAATTGGACTTAGTCAAAGTACCTAATTGGAGAAGGTTCTGAAGAGATTCAGAATGCAAGACTCCAAGAAAGGAGAGTTGCCCATCCAGAGTAGCGCCAAGTTGAGTAAGACACAAAGCCCTAGCACTGAGGCTGAGATAGCATAAATGAGTCGAGTACCTTATGCTTCGGCTGTAGGTTCGATCATGTATGATATGACTGTTGGATTAATGTCTAAGTCCATAACTATAATTGGTAAGACTTGACCCGACCCGGCATGGTCCATTTGGGTTGCATGGCATCATGCACTTGGATAGACTATAATGAGAGAAATAAGACACTTACGGTTATTAATATATTATAAGTTCTAGTATATTAATAATAAGAATAATGAGATTATTTAATTAGTATTGATCAAGAATTAATCTAGTATTAATTAAGTGATCAAAAGAAGACTAATTAAATATATGGGTTGATTGTGTAAATCATTCATTCTTATATATGTGGGCTTGTGATCCAAGATTCCTTATGTTGGACTAAGTCCATGGGGTGACCCATGGATACTCCATGGAGGTTAAAACCCATGGAGCATAAGGAATGGGTAAAGTCATGAGTTACATGGTGTAACCCTAATAGCCACCATATAAAAGAAACCCATGGCTCAAGAAATCGTGACTAACACTAACACTATGTGTGTGTATGAGGGCTAACCGATTTCATGAAGTGTTCTAGTTTCTCTCAAGTTATTCCAAGTGTATTTGGTGTTGTGTGAACCATTTGAGGCATCACCACTTGTGGTGCTAGGCTCACAAGGTTTCAAGGAACACAAGCAACAACGAGGTATGTATTCTATCTTGTTATATTCATTATTTTGTATGCTAGATTAGGATAATACCTTGGATGTTCATATTTGCATGTATAATAGAGAAAACATAGATCCAAGGTATTTAGGGTTGCATGTACACTTAGGAGTGTTAGAATGCTCATAACCCAACAATGACGTGTACTCGACCTGATGTAGCCTTTGCCTTAAGCATGGTTAGCAGGTTTCAGGGGAACCCTGGCAAGGCACACTGGACTGCGGTAAAGAATATTCTCAAGTACCTACGAAGGACTAAGGACTGGGTCCTTACCCTCGGTGGGAGTGATGACTTGAGAGTTGTAGGGTATAGTGATGCTAGCTTCCAGACTGATAGGGATAACTTCCGCTCTCAGTCGGGCTGGGTCTTTACCCTAAATGGAGGAGCAATTTCTTGGAAGAGTTCCAAGCAAGAGACAGTGGCAGATTCTACTTGTGAATCAGAGTATATTGCAGCTAGCGAAGCGGCAAAGGAGGCGTTATGGCTGAGGAACTTCATTGGAGACCTTGGAGTTGTACCAGCTATTAAAGAGCCAATGGAAATTTTCTGTGATAGTGAAAGTGATGTTGCCTTAGCCAAGGAACCAAGGGATCACGGGAGATCCAGACACATCGACAGAAAATACCATTTCATCAGACATCGGATCGAAGAAGGACTCCTCGTGGCAAAGAGGGTATCATCAGATGAGAATCCGGCAGATCCCCTCACGAAGGGACTGACTCGGATTAAGCATCTCCAGCATGCTCGGAGCATAGGGCTGAAGGATGATATTAGATTTAGTAGTTAGATAACCTCGAAATTTGTAAAGTGTAACTAACATTTGATGATGAATAAAAGTGTTTTATTTATGAGTAAAGTGTTGCTATCTCTTGTCGATCGTTTACTATATTTCTTTTGCATGTTTTGACTTCCAGAATAATTTTGTTTGGTATAACATATTATTCAAACCTCCACAGTCGGTCATATGTCGGAAGTAGGTATGAATCAAGACTGTCATGTTTAGTTGTAGAGGTCTGGGACAAGGCTACAACAATCATGAGTGCTCATAAGTTATGAGCATTGGACTCAACCCACGCTCACTGGAATCACTTCATGGAATTCTATCTCGAGTGATCGTGAGACGGTAATATCATATAAATCTTTAAACCTAGAGATATGATTTGTTACTTACAAGTTGGTTATGCATTGATTGTACGAAAAATGCATTGGTAACTCGATGTTATAAAATCGCGCTCTTATGTGTAATTCAATGAGTAGTAGAACAAACATATGAGTCGAAGTTTATCTGTTCCTTCTTGGATTAGAAGCTGATATCTGGGCCCCTCGATGATTTTGTTTTGACCTATGTACCGGGCCCGGTCAGAACTAAATTGATGTGTTCAATGAAGTTCTTTGTCAAACAAATCGGAAATCGGGAAACAAACTGTTGGACAATAAGTAAGACATTGTTCCATTTATTTGTCCGACTGATATCTAGAACAGAGGATTATATGATCACTTATCTTAAATGGCGTGCCATCATCTTCTCAGTTTCGAGAAACCTTGAAAAGAGCTACGATTGCCGATCGGTTCCTGAAGTCATACTTGCAGTAATAGTTATTAGACTTATCCAAGTGGGAGACTGTTGGATAAGGTGTCTAAGTCCATAACTATTTCTGGTATGTACTTGACCCGACCCGGCATGGTCCATTTGGGTTGCATGGCACCATGCAATTGGATAGACTAAATGAGAGAAATAACACTTGGAGATTATTAATATATTATAAGTTCTAATATATTAATAATATTATTTGATTAGTTTGATCAAGAATTAATTTAGAATTAATTATGTGATCAAAAGATAACTAATTAAATATATGGGTTGATTATGTAAATCATCCATATCTTGTATAGTGGGCTAAAAGGCTCCATGGACTATCAAGTTAGGTTCCACCCATAGGATGCTCCATGGATGCTCCATGGGAGTTACAAACCCATGGGTCATGGAAATGAAGAGTCATGACACATTAGGGTTTAACCCTAGATGTGTCAACACTATATAAGTAACATGTTCTCCACCCAAAATCGGCTACACTAAGAATCAAGAGGGCTTGGCCGATTTTTGAGAAGTGAGTATTCTCTCATAAGTTCTTCCAAGAGCATTTGGTGTTGTGTGAAGCATTTGAGGCATCACACTTGGGGTGCTAGGCTCACAAGGTTTCAAGGAACACAAACAACAACAAGGTAAGTTATTATATCTATGCTTTATGTTAAAATTGTTCCCCATGTATGCTAGATAGGAATATAACCTTGGAATTCAACTTTGCATGACAATTAGACAAACATAGATCCAAGGTTATTAGGGTTGCATGTACACTTAGGAAGTGTTAGAATGCTCAAAACCCATCACTAAACACATTCAAACCTTCTCCAAACACATTTTTGATCACTCCAATCCAGATTCAAGATGAGAAATCATCAAGTTCATCAGGATTCAACATTAGAAGATTGTTCAACCAAGGATCTCCATCATCTCCACTACAACTTCAGAATTTCCTTACTTATCCCTTAAGGTTTTATTGTTTCAAGCTTTGATAATCATTAGGTTATAATTTTTTCATGCTTTAAAGTTTGTTATTGGATTTCATTATGCATTTCATTTATTTCATCCAAGTTATTTGTTTTATGAACTCAATGGAAGGCTAAATCATTAGGGTTACTTCCGGGGATGTTTATGACTTTTTGATGAACACACTTGATTATTACTTGATTCAAGTTAATTTCAATTGTTGTTTTATGCTTCATGTGATGATCTTTGGTAATGATAATTGAAATTGGGCTTTATGAATTTGTTTGATGTCATACTTAAGATAGTCTATTGTTAATTCATCATTTGTTCCAAGTTCAAGTAGTTTATGAATATTGACAAGTGATTGAATCAACATATATTATTCCAACTTATGATATTGAAACTTAATATGGTAATAGGTAATTGTAAGATACTTTATTGCTAATGCACTAATTGTTCCTAATCCATTTAGACATAAGGAGTAAGACAACTAGTTGAATGAACATATTGTGTGCCCAAAGTTATGTGTTACAAAATAATAAACCCCAAATGCATTTAAGTAATTGAACTAGGATTGTAGGGAAGAAAGTGTGTGAATCTAAACTGTCCATAACTGAACTGGGAGTACCTTGCCTTTCTCATTGAGAGTTTCGTTTTTATTAATAATTTCCAAGTTTTTGTTTGATCTTTGTTTAATTTTTTTTTTCGTGACAATTGCTAGTATTAGTTTTTTGTTAACTATGTTAACACAAAGTTTGACCACAACCTCCTCGTGGATTCGACCATTACTTACCCTAGCTATCTAGTGTGTGTGAGGTTTATTTTTGACCAAGAAAACGACCTCGATCAAAATTTGGTGCTGTTGTCAGGGAGATTGTGAGCTTGAGCTATTGTGTTTAAGTAGTTAATTATAGTCTTTTACTTTCATTTTCAATTCTCATTTGCAGTTTACGTTTTGTTTTATTTGTGTTGTGCAGGCACACCAGTGCATGCATACAAGACATAGCGGACGCTCTTCATCGCTTGCATTTGATCCAGAAATCGAACGAACAGCTCGCTCAAATCGGGTCGTTGGAAGGAACATCAACACTATGATTGTAGATAACATTGTCGTGGAAGATGTGGTCGAGGGGCGTGAGGATGCAACCAACAATCCTCCACCACTAGTTCCATCACTAGCTCCTCAATTCCCAAACAACAACAATGGGAATAATGGGAATAACAACAATGCAGGTGCACCAATCATCCAACCACTGCAACCACAACCAAATAGAAACAATCGTGGCAAAAATGGTGGGAATGGAGGAAATTAGGCACAAAATATGGGAGGCAATGTAGGAAACCACAACGGTGGTAATGTTAGAAATCAAAACCAAAATCCTAGAAATGTTGGTCCTCAATTCGGTAATAGTGGTAATGGTGGTAACGAGGATGACTGAAACTTTGATGATGAAAGTGACAACGGACTTGGTTGGAATCAAAACCACAACGGTGGTAATAGGCGTAATCAAGGCAACCGGGGTGGAAATGGGAACTACAACAATAATTGGAACAGCTAGAATTTCCCCAATGGTGGCAACAATGACTACAACGATGGATTCGGAAATCAAGGCTTTGGGAATCAATATCGAAGGAATCCAAATGGTGGATTCAACAATGCAAATGGTGGATACTACAATGCAAATGGTGGATACTACAACGAAGGTAACCAATTCCCTCATCTTTATTTTCCGCAGCCTAATAGACATGAAAAGACTATCCCACGAAGCCCACAACACAATGGTGTAGCAGAATGGATGAATCGCACTATTGTTGAGAAAGTCTGATGCATGCTCAGCATGACTAAACTCCCAAAGCCATTTTGGGGTGAAGCTGTATTGACATCTTGCTATCTAATAAATAGGTCACCTTCCGCTCCATTGAATTTTGAAGTTCCGAAGAAGATATGGATGGGTAAAGACATATCATATTCTGACTTGAGAGTATTTAGGTGCAAGGCGTTTGCACATGTATCAAGTGAATTGCGGAAGAAGTTGGACCTCAAATCCACTCCATGCATCTTTATTGGATATGGAGATGAAGAGTCCGAGTACATGCTATGGGACCCAGAACTAAAGAAGGTTATTCGAAGTAGAGATGTGGTTTTCTATGAAAACCAGTATTATGATTTCAAGGTATCGGTTAACAAGTAACAAAGCTCCAAAGTTTCAGATATAATATCTGAAAATAAAGATGATGTTTCCACTGAAGAAGAAGATGAAGAAGTTGATGATACAAATCAAGAAGGTGTTAAGGAAGGGGAGCTTCCACCCCATGATACTTTAGATACATTTCCAGAAGTTACAAACGAAGGAACTCAAGTTAGATGATCCGAACGAGTTCGTGCTCCATCAAGAAGATATCCGACTTCAAACTACATCCTTCTTACTAGTGAGGGGGAGCCAGAGAGCTTTCAAGAAGCTAAATCTCATATTGATAAAGCAAATTGGCAGAAGGCGATGGAAGAAGAAATGAATTCTTTGCAGAAGAATCAAACATGTGAGTTGGTGAAACTCCCCAAAGGAAAGAAAGCCTTGAAAAACAAGTGGGTTTTCAAGTTGAAGAAAGACGGCAAGGGAAATACTATGAAGTATAAGGCGAGACTCGTTGTCAAAGGCTTCCAACAAAAATAAGGAATCGACTTTGATGAAATTTTTTTGCCGGTTGTGAAGATGATGTCTATTCGAGTTGTACTCGGATTAGTTGCCAGTCTAGATCTTGAACTTGAGCAGATGGATGTGAAAACAGCCTTTCTCCATGGTGATTTGGATGAAGAAATATACATGGAGCAGCCTGATGGCTTTAAAGTCCCAAAGAAAGAGCATCTCGTCTGTAAATTAAAGAAGAGCCTTTATGGTCTTAAGCAAGCCCCAAGGCAGTGGTACAAGAATTTTGATTCATTTATGATGAATCATGAGTACAAGAGAACCGTTGCAGACCATTGTGTCTATCTAAAGAAGTTTCCAGATGGGAAATTTATCATCCTTTTGCTCTACGTGGATGATATGTTGATAGTGGGCCAAGATGAAACGATGATCAACAGCTTGAAGAAGGATTTGTCTAAGTTCTTTGATATAAAAGACTTAGGCCAAGCACAACAGATATTGGGCATGAAAATAATCCGTGATAGAAAATCAAGAAAATTGTTCTTATCACAGGAAGAGTATGTTGAACGTGTGATCAAAAGGTTCAACATGGAAAATGTCAAGCCTGTTGGTATGCCCTTGGCTAACCACTTCAAGTTGAGTAAGAAAAAATTTTCATCTTCTGAGAAAGAAAAAGAAGAGATGAAAGCAGTCCTCTATTCCTCAGCCGTAGGAAGTCTTATGTATGCAATGGTGTGTACAAGACCAAATATTTGCTCATGTTGTCGGTGTTGTGAGTAGATATCTAGCTAATCCGGGAAAACAACATTGGGAAGCAGTCAAATGGATACTTCGATACCTGAAGGGTAGTTCGAAACTATGTTTATGCTACGGGGGAGCAAAGCCAATCGTGGAAGGTTATACAGATGCCGATATGGCAGGAGATCTTGATAGTAGGAAATCTACATCAAGTTACATTTTTACTTTGGCAGGGGGAGCTATCTCGTGGCAATCCAAGTTACAGAAGTGTCTCGCACTATCAACAACAAAAGTCGAGTATATTGTTGTCATTGAAGCTGGGAAGAAGCTTATATGGATGAAACGGTTTCTTCAAGAATTAAGTTTTCCACAAGAAGAGTACATCATTCATTGTGATACTCAGAGTGCTATGGACCTGAGTAAGAACTCGATGTACCATTCCCACACAAAACATATTGATATTCGTTATCATTGGCTTAGAGAAGCAATTGAGGGACGGGAATTGAAGTTGTTAAAGATCAACACCAACAACAATCCTGCACACATGCTAACAAAGGTGGTGACACAAGAGAAACACAGACTATGTGCTAAAATAGTTAGGATGAGGATTGTTGGACGGAGACTGGAGGGGGAGATTTGTTGTGTTCCAGCCTCCAAAACTACAGTAGTCATCATTGTTGACAAAATGAAACCTACGGGACAAGTTTTTCTTCCTACCCTATGATGAATACAATTAATGAAGGCAACTACAATGGTGGCTGCCAAGACTATAAATAGACTTCATTATTCAGTTGTATGCATCCCAAACACAAAGAAACATATAGTATAACACTTAGAGTGAGAGTGTTAGTGAGAGGGTTGGTTTTTTGTAATAGTTGAGTGTGAGAGTTGCTCCTCCTATTGTAATTCTATTTTAGTATTTAATAGAAGAGTTTTCCAACCCCAAAATGCAACAACAATTTATTATCAAAATTTTGCATAATAAAATAATTCTTGATAATAGTAACCCAGCAAATTCAATCCATGTGAGAGAATTTTATTAATACACGCGAGCCTTTGGTGGGAAGGTATGCACGTCATCATCAAGAGTGTTCATGTGAACCAGCCTGTAGTCTAGTCACACCTTCTCATTCTCCCGGTATTTGCACATATTTTAAGATCATCATATAATGTCATGAAAAAAAGGAAGATGTTATTTCTTGAATTAAAAGAGAAATTGAGATATTTACCCGAGTGTGTGTTTCATCCATTTCTCATCATCTCTTTTCTGAAAAAGCATCAAGTCGAACATTTATGAGAAAAGGTGAAGAAAAGAAGGAAATTAATTAAAAAGGAGATATGAATGAGAGCAAACCGTGAAATCTTCACGAGCATGAGCTCCTCTACTCTCTTTCCTGGCTTCAGCTGAATGCATGGTGATGCATGCATTGATCAAAAGGTTCTCCAACTCTATTGTCTCTAGCAAGTCCGAGTTCCTGAAATATGTCTTCACATAAATACATCTAACCATAATAATAATAATAATAATAATAATAATACTAAATTTTTAAAGTCCAATTGAATTTACCATATCAAGCTTCTAACTTTCAATTTGACATCATGATAACTCTCCCATGCTTTGTCAATCAGATCACAACCTGTATTACAACACTCACATAGTCAGTCAATGTGGTAACAAGGAAAATAAATAAATAAATAAATAAATAAATATATATATATATATATATATATATATATATACACAGACAAACAACCTTCTAATGTCTCCTGTGTGCGAAAGACAGCAGCATTATTCTGCATGATTCGCTGCATGTTCAGTCGGATCTGAGAGGTATGAAGTGAACCATTTGAATTCCTTATTTTTGTCTAACCATGCAATTGTCTTCTCTCCAGCATCCTTTGACAATGGTGCTTGTTTTTCACCTGTATATATAGCAGAGAAACTTGAGTCCATATGACATGCATATTTTCTATTACTAATACATGTAAGACTTAGAAAAAACAACTTCACCTGGCTTATGGATCTCTGCAACTCTGTTTGCACAAGCTCTACCAAACACAACAATGTCAAGAAGAGAATTTGCTCCAAGACGATTAGCACCATGAACAGAGGCACATGCTGCTTCTCCAGCAGCCATAAGTCCAGGAACAATGGCATCGGAATTATCTCCTTTTTTGTTTTCAACCTGCAAAAAAAAGGTTGAAATAATAATATATAATTAATTATATATACCTCGCCATGGTAATTAGTTGGGATTCTACCCATGTTTAATGGACAGTAGGTAAAACTGGAATTGACTCCTTTGTTACATTAACACCAGCAAAAATTAAGCCACAGATGGCAGCAGTTCCAGAAACACAAGGATGTCTCTTCTTGATAACCTCTGGATGGTAGATGACTCAAGTGAAGAAACATGTGATCCTTCATTGTTCCTATTATAAGGAAGCCAGATTAATTTGGCCAGAAAAAAAAAAAAAAAAATTAATCACATAATTTTAAAACTGACAATACATGAAAAAGAAATTTCACCTGTTGGATCTGTGAAGTCTGGCCAGTTTTTCAAATCGGATAAGGCTCCAATATTAACACAAACGATAAATGAGATACTATTAGATAATACATAATTATGTATTTAGTTGTTTACAATAATCTTGTAATTATCCTATTCCATAGATATAGGAGTATTTGTTGTATTCTTATAGATACTCAATGAAACGTGGTTGATTTAATAAATCTTATAGATACTCAATGAAACCATGCTTAGAACTATATCAAGGATTCTCCTCGTATGTATAGTACATGTATTGCTTTTAAATATAAGTTGTTTATTTTTAGCTTATGATTTACTTATTGTCAGATCAATGTCAAATTTGAAATCAAGGTGCGATGAACACTAGAAAACAGAGAAAGTACCTGTTACAATAATTTTTTGTGAACTGGCTTTAACTGTTCTTTCGAGCTTCTCAAAATCATCCCACCACCACATAGCATGACGTGTTCTGTTTTTGATTCCGGATCTCTGATTTAAAACCAGATGACTGAAGAAGTTCTCTCGACCCAATAATACAGAGACCTTTCAACAAAAGAATACTCTGTGGAAGATGACTTATGCTTGTACCTTCTATATCTAACCTTTTTAAACATTCTAACCTTCCAAGTTCCTCAGGCAATTTCTCAACTCGAATACAATGCTGGAGGTGTATATGTTTAAGACATTTTATCTTAAGGATGCTATTTGGCATATCTTGTATACATTTACATTTACTTAGGGTTAGGTTCTCTAAACATTCTAACTGGCCAAGATTATGTGGCAACTTCTCAAGCCGTGAACAATCATAAAGTTTAAGATATTTCAGATGTTTCAACATACAAATGCCATCCGGAAGATGTTTAATCTTGAGAGATTTCAGACGTTTCAACATACATATGCTATCCGGAAGATATTTAATCTTGGTATATGATGATTCTAGCTTCTCTAAACATTCTAATCGCCCAAGATCCTCTGTTAACTTCTCAAGCAACGAACAAGAAATAGGTTCAAGAGACTTAAGATGTTTCAACATACAAATACTATCCGGAAGATGGGTGGCCTTTGTAGACCTGAAAGTTAGTTCCTGTAGACATTCTAACTGGTCAAGGTCCTTGGGTACCTCTAGAAATTTGCCTTCCATTTTAAGCTTCCTTAAACGTTGTAACCCACAAATACAATCTGAAAATGTCTCAAGGTTTGTGCAAACACACATACCTATAGAAATAAGCATCTCAGCATTCCTAGTCAACGAATGTCGGTCTTGTTTATATAAACAACTAAACCGGATCTTGGGGAGATTACTGCTGGGGTGAAATGGGCATTTTCTTTGGGACTCCGCAATAAGATGTAAGTCAGCTAAAGGAAGTGATTCATCCAGAGCACAAGAAGTATGATCCTTTATGTTAAACACAAAAGATTTAAACCTCAAACAACCATTTAAGTCTAAGTGGACAAGCTTTTTTAGACATCCAATAGAAGTGTGAACTTCTACCAGATTATAACATTCTTTAAGATCTAGCGTCTCCAGCTTTGGAGTCAGACCAAGGTCAAGGGTCCTCAACTTTGAATGGCTTATGTTGAGGTTGGTAAGCTTTGGACATTCACCAGCCATGTGAATTTCTTCTAAATAGTAACAATTTTCAAGATTTAGATACTCAAGATTTGGAGTCAGCCCGATGTCAAGGGTCCTCAACTTTGAATGACTAATGTCGAGTTTGGTGAGCTTTTGACATTCACCGGCCATGTAAAATTCTTCTAAACAGTAACAATTATTAAGATCTAAAAACTCGACATTTGGAGTCAACCCAATGTTAAGAGTCCTCAACTTTGAATTACTGAGTTGTAGGGATATTAGATTTATACATCTACGGGGCATGTGAAGTTCTACCAAATTATGGCATCCAGCAAGAATCAAAATCTCAAGATTTGTTACCAGACCAAGGTCAAGGGTCATCAACCGTGAATGAGTGAGGTCGACCGATATGAGCTTTAAACATCCAATGTGCATGTGAATTAGTTCTACCAAATCAGTACATCGTCGAAGATTCAAGGCTCAAGATTTGGAGTAAGCCTGAGGTCAAGGATACTAAGCATCGAACAACTGAGGTCAAGGAATCTGAGTTTCCTAAAAACCTAATATAAGCCCAAAAAAAACACGATGAATATTGATGTAATAACAAAACAAGGATGTATAACACTATAATGAATCATGCAAAACAATCAATCAACCATAATTTTACCTTTCTTTCTCCTCCTTCCCAAAGTTGTACAACTTTGCTGTGAGCCATCTTAAGTTCAACAAGATTATTTGCCAGCAATGTTTTGGTTAAAGACCTAAAAGGGTACTGATTAAATTCCAGATATCTTAAAGCATTTGGAAAATCTGGGCTGACTATATCAGATTCTGTATTACAGAAATGACCACCGAAAACCACAGAGAGAAATCTAAGTTCCTTCATCTTTCCAAGACCTTTTACAACAGTATACGGATTAAGTTTATTGGTGTAGAACCGTATACATTTTATTGCTTTAGTACCCTGTAATCCAAAAGCAATCACCATGAAATTTATATATGTTGCAGCATATGAAAATGTTAGTTTTTCCCAACTTACAAAGAAACTTGATCCTTACCAAGTCATTAGCAAAAATATCTTCAATTTCATCACGAACCCACAATCAACTATGTTTTTGTGGCTTATCCGGGTGTGCACAACGAACAATATTCTTGCCCATTTCTTCAATATGGTCGTGCATGCCCAGACACTTATGAGAATCAGAATTATCATAGTTAGTTATGAGAGATTTTTGCTCAAGAACTTTTAAAGCAGTTCTAGCATGAAATCCACATATTTCAAGAGTTGCTATTGCTAAGTCTTTCTGCCAACCTTTAAACATGCATGCAACATCTAGGAATATTTCCTTGTGATCCTCCTCTAGACCGATATAGCTTAATTTTAACTTTTTCAGAGTTTCTGCTAATGGAATCGTTTTTAGTCTGTCTAAAGCATCTATCCATTCAGGCTCATTTTTACCACAAAGAAACGAACCCAGAGCTTTGATTGTTAAGGGAAGACCAGCTGCATAACGTACAACTTGTCTTGATAGATCTTCATACCCTTGAATTGGAATCTCTCTCCCAAATGCATACCCATTGAAGAGGAAACTTGCTTCCTTATCCGATAAAAGATTGTCATCATGAATGAACTTCACTCGGTGTGCTACCAACACTTGTTCATCTCTTGTTGTGATTATAATTCTACTTCCCGGCTTAAACCAATTAGGCTCACCAGCTAATGCCGCAAGCTAGTCTATATGATCCACATCATCCAGAACAACAAGAACCTTTTTATCATGCAGCATTCTCTTCACCATGTGTTTCCCATCATAAACACTACTAACGCTGAAATCTTTATCATTTAAGACATCTGAAAGGACTTGATTTTGCAATGTCTTTAAACCAAACAAAGAAGCATTTGAAACTTCTCTGACATTCTCAATGAAGCTTTTACCTTCGAATTGAATAGCTATTTGATCAAAAATAGCTCTGGCCAAAGTTGTCTTCCCACCACCTCCAATCCCCTTGATTCCAATCATCCGAACATCATCAAATCCCTCTCCTAAAGATGATGCAACTTCCTTGATTCGGGACTCCATTTCAACTAATTTTTCATCAATGTTGAATCCGATGGATCTTAAATCTAGTGAAAGCGCTTCAACTATTTGTTTGATGAATGTAGCTTCATGCCTGTATATTCAAGAAGATTCAGTTAGCACACTCGAAATCCCACATGAGCAGTTACTTTCGGATATATAACACACAACCCTATATGAAAAGATAACAAAACTTGAGTAAAATTTTGACAATCTAAGATGCCATGTACAAGCCTTTTTACATCCACGTTATATGCTAGATCAGAAAGATTCAATATACAAGAGAAATTACCCATCAGCAGTCGCTGCTTCTTTCAGAGCCTCTCTCCATTTCCCAGCAGCTTCTTCGTTTTCATGTTCTGCAAAGGCTTCTGCCACTGCCCTCTTTTGTTTGAGGACTTCTGAAGGTTCCACATCATAGAACAAGGGGTAAGCGGTATGCTCATTTTTCCTTTGGCACTCCATTATCTTAACAAGTTCTTCCAAGCACCAAGATGACGAGGCATAGTTTTTGGAGAAAACAATGATGTAGAGTTTTGAGTCCTCAATGGATCTGATGAGTTCATCATTGATGTTTTTCCCTTTTTTGATTCTCTGGTCGTCCTTGTATGTATGAATGCTTTTTTGGTTAAGAGCCTGATAAAGATGATCAACGAAATTCGTACGAGTGTCTTCACCCCTAAAACTCAAAAACACTGTCATACTTAAAGCACTTATGTATGAATGCTTTTTTGGTTAAGAGAATTTAATTATTTTGATTGGAATCCATTAATAATAGTAAAGAGTGAATTTTATTTTGTTTATTTTGCTAGATCTAAACTATCAGGCGTGTTTTGGCTTTTTAAATATCTTGATTATTGGGTTCCTTCTTAAGAAATGGATATAACTGCGTCTACAGCCAGGGGCCCACGAAGAGTGGCAGGAGGCATCGTTTCAGGAATCACATTTTGCTGCGGTCCATTAGGATTTAAAAATCAAAAAGAGGGCGAGAGCGACCAAAAAGGAGAAATCGTTCGTCTACAAAGGTTGAATCACGCTCAAAGTTTTCACATCACTGTCATAATCAGGTAAGAGTATGAATTCAATTTTGTGATTTTTGTTTATTTTGCATCTCTATATTTAATTAATAGATTATCTATTTCATTGTAATTTGTCTTCAATCCTCAAGTCTATTCTATTAAGTATACAATACTTCATTCCGAATTTGGAATCTAAGTGATTTTGTCATGGAAGTGGGATTTGTTTTTTTCTTTTGAATTATTGCTTGGAATATGTTGTATGTCAAATGTTATAAAAATAGAAAATCCAAAATAATTTAATCTTAATGGTTTGGAATCTGTCTAGAATCATTCTTCAATATTATTTGGAAATAAGAAATTAGGAAATATGATAGGTCTTGACTCTCACAATCACAACACAACAGAGTGAAAATGACAAATGTGATGTGATTTTTCTTTCCTAAAACCTCTCATACTTGAGACATGAATGCTGACAAATAAGATATCGTGGCATAAATTTTAGGGTTATAATTCTTGATAATGGGAAAGTCTCGACCTCATCATCAGTAGTTCTTCTGGTATCTGCAGATTTTAAGATGAAGACAGAGATTATATTCTGGATGATAGAATGTCAACCATTTCCAAGTTGTAATAATACCCGGAAAATAATGCACAAGCATTCATATTGATATACATGCATCTATATTAGCCTAAAAGGAAGAATACCAATTTACTCTCATTTATTTATGTAGTAGAGTATCCTCCTTTCATTTCTTTTGATCACAACAATGTACTTCTTTATTTTTATTTTCTTATCAAGGCGTTGTACTTTAAAATTTCTGCTCAAGTCTAGAATTGTACTTTCGGTTTTTTTTCTTATTAGAACATTACTTTGGAATGTCTACTCTATCATAGCATTGTACTTTCAGCTTTTCCTTATTAGAACACTACATATTAAAATATCTACCTTTGTAATGTCAACACTTTTCTTATAAGAACATTATACTTTGAAAAATATATCCAATTATAACATCGTACTTTCATTTTTTTCTTATTACAAAATTGTACTTTGATAATATACCCAACTATAGCATTGTACTTCTAAGTTTTAGTTATTAGAACATTATATTTTGAAAATCCTCCCATAATAGTATGCATCAAATGAAGGTCAATTAACAATATTATTCACCTCAGCTGTCAAGATTGTTGAAGAACGAAATCTATGTAGTTTTACATCCTCCATGTTAAGTGCAATAACACCTAGGCAGCTTGCCTGGTAGAAATCACTTATATGATAAAATCACTTTTTGAAATATATACATAAACCATATGGAATCAAGGAAAAAAACAAAGTTAACATTACCATCACTGCCCATGATTCGATTTAAAGAAAAGTATTCCACAAAAAAATGTGTGCTATGTAAGTCATCATATCAACCTTTGCCAAAGTCAAGAATATGACAACCAAATATAATTATTTATTTTTTGGCTAATAAAATGATTATTACCATCAACAACACCAAAAAGACCACCATATCAATCCATAATACAATGATCAATAGAAAACAGAGAAATTTGTAATTATTTGTGAAATGACTTTTCTGGGTATGTTGGAAGTGAGTTATTGAGTATTGATCAGGAGATGTTTGTTTTAATGCTTTTTTCAGGTTACTTACATACTTGAAGTTGTTGGAAATCCCTTGAAGTTTTCATGTCTATATGAAGAGATAGTGTTGTGTGGGATGCGACTACATTTGTTTTGGTTTTGAAGGCATATTTGGATTTGAAGGAGTATAGTTTAGGAATTTAAATCCATGTCCCATCCACAAATCTTTGGACGCTACTGTTGGATTATGGTGTATTTTTGTATAACATCAAATCCATCATGATCACATATTTAGTGATTTCTTACAACCATAAATTAAACTAGCAAGAGACGAATCAATTACTCCTCTTTGTAGTCAATTCTTTTGCTTTCTCCTTCGATCAATCGAGATCCAAAACCAAACATCCTTTTTCGTAGCAACACCCAAGAACAGTGATCAAGCAACAATGGCAACTTCTTTTCTCTTGTTATAAACTTAAGTTTTGCATGATATTCGCACATACTAAAGATTGCAATTAATTTGTTTCATCACAATTATAAGATGTAATTATCACCATATATAACCATTTTCATACACGCATATGAGATATCTTTAACTTTATAAACTACAATCTTATTGTCAACTTAGACACACTTTGGCTTTATCCATGTCAAGTCAAAGCAGTAAGCATAAATCATTACGCTCTAAGTCTAAAAAACAAAGTTACAAACACAATCTACCAGAGACAACTTATGTGCAGGTTTTCAGGGTTTTGCATCAAACGACGAATGCAACAACAATTTATTATCAAAATTTTGCATATAATAAAATAATTCTTGATAATGATAACCAGCAAATTCAATCCATGTGCAAGGATTTTATTAATACACGCGAGCCTTTGGTGGGAAAGTCTGCACATCATCATCAAGAGTGTTCATGTGAACCGGCCTGTAGTCTAGTCGCACCTTCTCATTCTCCCAGTATCTGCACATATTTTAAGATCATCATATAATGTCATGAAAAAAAGTAAGATGTTATCTCTTGAATTTAAGAGAGAAATAGAGAGATTTACCCGAGTGTGTGTTTCATCCATTTCTCATCATCTCTTTTCTGAAAAAGCATCAGATGGAATATTTTTATGAGAAAAGGTGAAGAAAAGAAGGAAATTAATTAAAAAGGAGATATGAATGAGAGCAAACCGTGAAATCTTCACGAGCATGAGCTCCTCTACTCTCTTTCCTGGCTTCAGCTGAATGCATGGTGATGCATGCATTGATCAAAAGGTTCTCCAACTCTATTGTCTCTAGCAAGTCCGAGTTCCTGAAATATGTCTTCACATAAATACATCTAACCATAATAATAATAATAATAATAATAATAATACTAAATTTTTAAAGTCCAATTGAATTTACCATATCAAGCTTCTATCTTTCAATTTGACATCATGATAACTCTCCCATGCTTTGTCAATCAGATCACAACCTGTATTACAATGACACACATAGTCAGTCAATATGATAACAAGGAAAAATATATATATGTAAATAATATAACTATACATATTATGTATACACACACACACACACAAACAAACCTTCTTCTAATGTCTCCTGTGTGCGAAACACAGCAGCATTATTCTGCATGATTCGCTGCATGTTCAATCGGATCTGAGAGGTATGAAGTGAACCATTTGAATTCCTGATTTTGTCTAACCATGCAATCGTCTTCTCTCCAGCATCCTTTGACAATGGTGCTTGTTTTTCACCTGTATATATCAAAGCAACTTGAGTCAATAATATGACATGCATATTTTCTATTACGTATATATGTAAAACTTAGAAGAAAAAAAAAAACTTCACCTGGCTTATGGATCTCTGCAACTCTATTAGCACAAGCTCTACCAAACACAACAATGTCAAGAAGAGAATTTGCTCCAAGACGATTAGCACCATGAACGGAAGCACATGCTGCTTCTCCAGCAGCCATAAGTCCAGGAACAATGGCATCGGGATTATCACCTTTTTTGTTTACAACCTGTAAAAAAGAAAATAATGAATAATAAAAAAAACGGTTGAAAATTTGAAATGATAGTATATAATTATATATATATATATATATATATATATATATATATATATATATATATATATATACCTCGCCATGGTAATTAGTTGGGATTCCACCCATGTTGTAATGGACAGTTGGCAAAACTGGAATTGGCTCCTTTGTAACATCAACACCAGCAAAGATTGCAGCAGTTTCAGAGATACCAGGGAGTCTCTCCTTGAGAACCTCTGGTGGTAGGTGATTCAAGTGAAGATAAATGTGATCCTTCATTGGTCCTATAACATATAATTAATTAGGGTTTAGATCTTGAAAAAACATTCCTTGATTTGAGATTTAATTGGTGAAGAAACATAAAACATACCTACACCACGACCTTCTCTGATTTCCATTGTCATGGATCTTGAAACAACATCCCTTGATGCAAGATCCTTTGCAGTTGGAGCATAACGTTCCATAAATCTTTCACCTTCACTATTCCTTAAAATACCCCCTTCACCACGAGATCCTGCATTGAGATGAACGAGGTTATAACAGTCTTTTCAGGTGAACAGAAAGAAATATACACTAACCTTCAGTAATAAGGCACCCAGCACCATATATACCAGTGGGATGAAATTGCACAAACTCAAGATCCTGAAACAATTAATCACAACCAAATATATCAATCAATATGAGAATGATGAAATTAAGTTTAGTTATAATATTAATTAATACCTCGAGAGGAAGGCCTGCACGTGCAACCATAGCATTTCCATCTCCTGTGCATGTATGAGCAGAGGTTGCTGAGAAATATGCTCTACCATAACCCTGAAAAACAAAATAAAATGGGATTAAATAATTAGTGGGTTTTCATTTTCCACAATCCATATAGACACAAAATTAATCTCCATTAACAAATAATCACCCCAGTTGCCAAGATTGTTGAAGAAGAACGGAATCTATGTAGTGTCCCATCCTCCATGTTCAGTGCAATGACACCTTGGCAGCTTCCTGGAAGAAATTTAAAATATAAAGTTATAAACAATATGAATGAAATCACTTTTTTGACATATAATTATAAATATAATTAATTCAAGGGAAAAAGAAAAAGGCAACATACCATCACTACCCATGATTAGATCCAAAGCAAAATATTCCACGAAGAACTGTGTGTTATGTTTCATTGCTTGACCATATAATGTATGCAACAAAGCATGACCAGTTCTATCAGCAGCACAAGCACAACGATAAGCTTGTCCACCTATGAAATAAACATGAAGAATTTGAGATAAGATTTTTATTTTATTTTATAAGTTGGAATAAGTAGAGAAAGATGATATCAAGTTAACAACCATTGCCAAAGTCAAGACTTTGACCACCAAATGCACGTTGGTATATTTTGCCCTCTTCAGTTCGAGAAAATGGTAAACCATAGTTTTCAAGTTCGATAACTGCTTTGGGTGCTTCTCTACACATGTATTGGATAGCATCTTGATCACCTATAGAAATGTAAAACCTTTGTTATGATTTAAAAACAAAAAATAAATATATCTTGAAATAATATTTTTATAAGATAGAACAGGGTATATTATAAAAGAAATAAGAAGGAAATGAAGTACCTAGCCAATCGCTTCCCTTAACTGTGTCATACATGTGCCACCTCCAGTCATCCACAGTCATGTTTCCTAATGCAGCATTTATACCTCCCTGCATACATTTAGAAAATGCAACTCAACTTAGTTTCATCACCAAAACAATATAAAACAAAACTACTTGGGATAAGAAATGCATCCACTTCAATATTTACAAGTTATTGAGTTAACTTGATCACATCAAGGAATTGCAGAGGCAAGATATACACCTACAATGTAAACTTCTTCTTTGGTCAAAAGCAAAAAGTGCTAATGGGCCAATAATTCAAAATTACAACTTGAAAAGAAGTGTTGGAAACGTAAGTTCCAACTTTTTTGAATCTAATCCCTAAGAATAAAACATAGTCGATTGTTAAAGGAGGCTTTGTACTTTGTAGGATGAACAGAAACCCTAGAATGTAAACTAGCTCCATTCAGTAAACTGTAAACTTTTTTAGATCGATCATCAAATGTAAACAAAAATACCCGAAGAAACAAGAACTAAATAGTTAGAACAAACAACAAACCTGAGCTGCAACAGTGTGAGAACGTGTAGGGAACAGCTTGGTAATGCAAGCAGTATTAAATCCATGCTCGGAAAGCCCTATCGCAGCTCGAAGACCGGCACCTCCAGCCCCAACCACAACGGCGTCGTATGTATGATCAACTATCGTATATGATGATCCGACACGCTGTTTACCACATCCAAAAAAAAACGATTAAAAAAAGAAAACACACAGACACACATTTCACAAGCTAAATCTCAAAAAGCCTCGGTGAGGTAATCAAATTTTAAAAATCAACAATCTATCGACAACAAAACAAAAAACTAAATGACTTACAACCGATCAAAAGCAAAACACGCTACAATACATAAATCAATTCAAAATTCGAAAATATAATTGCATGATGTGAAAACGCTTATCTCGTAGATCCATTTCAGTTCCAAATAAAAAACCTAACTTTCGACTAATTCAAAAACGCAATAAAACATACAAGGATTCATAAGAGAGTACCGATTCAGAAGCGAAGAATCGTTGTGAGAGAAAGCCGCCGGCGGTGGATCTCCGGGAGGGAATACGAAGACCACGTGACACGCACCTCCACATCTCTTTATATGTGAGTGTATATCAGTGTACGTATCTATATTTATCAGTATAAGCTGCTATTGGTTTTAAGAATGGTGATAGAAAGGGAGAGAGAAAGAGAGGGGGAGGGGAATGAGAGAAATAGGAGTGCTGCTTGCAATGTAGAAGATGGACTGTAACAAAAGTTGGTATTATACCAAAACTACCCCTACTTTGCCTTTTAAATATCCAAAATGCCATTAGCGAAAAGGAAAAATCGAATGGCCATTATTTATATAGTTTATATTAATAGATATTAAATCAGATTTTATAAAAGTCGTTTTGTACTTAGCCATAAACAGTAAGTTATAAATGTAACTAGAGACATGAGAAATAGTCGATGTCACAACGAATACATCAACAAATCTTGGTTTTAGTTTTTTATCTAAAAAAAATTAAGTATTTGATAATGGAGTAGTTTATAACTTTATATTTATATTTATATATACCTCCATAAATTGTTCATCATATTGTTTTGTTGAATTTATAATTTTGGAATATAATACTTACAGAATAGTCTACTGGCAAAAATATGGACTTTTAGTTTTTATTACTACTAACCAAACAAAATCAATTAAATTACATCCTAAATCAAATACTTTTGTAAAACGAAAATACTATATTTTCTTTGGTAAATGAATCAAATGGATAAACTTGATGAAAATACTAATCATTTTGGTAATCAAATATCATATATATTTCCCAAAATGATATATTAAAAACAGTAAGCTCAAATTTGTAACATGAAACCATTTTACCTTGCAAAAAGAAAATATATTAGGATTTATTTGGATTCGCCAAGGATGATTTCTAAAAAATATAATATGAATTATAGATAATCTAACATGAAATTTTAATAAAGTATAGTTTTGCCAAACACTACATGGGTAGGGTGCATTGGGCAGTTGTAAAGTGTGTTTGGTAGATTGTACTGTGTGAATTTTCTAGCCACGTTTTTGCAAACTTGGAATTTATTAAAATCATGTGGGAATTGTGTTGGGCAAAGAGGATGAGAAGGGGAGGTGGGTGGGTGCACGGCAAGTAATTGATGGCTGGTGGAGGCAACGGACGCGATGCATCAATTTTGGGGCTTAAATGTGCAACGCGCGGCCACAGGTGAAGCCACCCGTTTCAAAGGAATCCCCTAAAACTTAACGCTACTTTATTTTCTTCTCTAACATTTTAGTCAATGTTTACATTTAAAAAGGATAAGTCACATCATGATAATTAAGTATGTTTGATAGGTTAATTTTATCAATGTATAGTTTTGTTACTTTTGTATTAAACATATGGATAAAATACTTAAGTGTTGTTTGTTTTTTCTGATGTAAAAATATATACAGTCTGCAAACCATATTTATAGATTTCTACAGTAGAAGAAATGAACCCTATGATGCATGGAAACGTTATTCAAGTACCCGTACCCGTATTTAATACTTGGAGGAAACGGAAACGGCAAGAAACGTTTCTTGAACGTATCAAGGGTTTCAAGAAACGTATCAGGTAAGTTTCCACAAAGTTTTTTTTTTTTTTTTTTTGCATGGGCTTCTTTGAGCCAAATAGGATAATTGTATAATGGGCTATATGAGATTACCCTACAACTATAATAGTCTATTATCGATCGCTGCCTCCCTAAGTCCTTAAATTTTTAGTCCTTAAATTTTTAATCGATTCAATATATTATCGTTTACAATTTACTACTTGCGCACTTGGCTGTCGACTATCAAGAACAAGAAAGAATTAACCACTCACGAATTCATAAATCGATTATTATGGCTTCTAGTTCTCAAGAACTAGAAACATAAGGATCAACTCCATCAATAGATCAACATCCATTGTGAGACTATGTGACAAAACTCGAAAAACTTGTTGGAGCAGGAGGATGTTGGAAGTTCAAGTGTAACTTTTGCAGTGAAACCCAACAATGATCATATTCTAGAGTTAGAGCATATTTGTTTGGTATAAAATGTAATCTACTATTCAATTTAGAGTGTGTTTATGTAATTTTAGATTTTTGATTAATGTTATATTATTATTCACTTATTGTATTTATTCATGAACAATTGTAAAGAAATAAGAAACTGTGAATTTTGTTTTGTTTCATGTATTTGTTGTGATTTTTTATTCATGTTGTTGTATAGAACTATTGATTCATGAACAATTGTAAAGAAATAAGAGGCTACGATTTTTGTTTTGATTCATGTATCTGTTGCGATTTTGATTCATGTTATTGTATTGAACAAATGATTCATGAACATTTGTAAATAAATAAGAGGCTGCGATTTTTGTTTTGATTAATGTAACTGAATTGATAATGTCAATGATGAACTTATTTTTTTCATGTTATTGGATTGAGAATGTCAATTGTTAATGTTATTGTGTGTTCTTAAAATCATGTTGTTTTAATTGAATATAGGTATTGGGATTTGTATTTGCAAGAAAACAACAACGGCTGACAAACTTAACATGAACTAATTAGAAGATGCATATGAAAAGAAGAAAATTGAGTCACAAGCGAAAGAAGTTATGTTGCTAACAATAAAATTGATGGTTATGTACCTCCTGGTTATAATAAGCTAAGAACAACATTACTACAAAAAGAAAAGACAAGCCTTCAAAAATGGTCACTGTGGTTTTCAAAAATATCAAGTTTAGTCCCTAAGTTCAAAAAACCTCACAGATAATCCTTGTGGTTTCAAAACTTTTAACAAATGGTCCTTTTCGCTAACTCCGTTAACTTTTGGCCGTTAAGTGAAGGGTATTTCCGTCATTTCACGAAATAGGGACCATTTATGAAGTTTTTTGTTATTTAAAAAAAATATAATTATTTAATAAAGGGTCCCACCCTCTCTCTCTCTTTCTCTCTCTCTCTCTCTCTCTCTCTCTCACACACACACACACACGAAAGAACCCATCTTAAATTGGATCTTCACTTCGTCGATGAACTCAAATGCAAAAGGGAGATGGTGCATCTCTTCGTCTGATTGGGGAAGAACACGAATGGAAGCAATCAAAAATCGAGGGTACTAGTGAGGTTCAAGCAGATCACAAGGTGGGACTGAGAAAGGGACCTCGGTCTTCATCTTCGTCTTCATTAGATCGAGAAGGCATCAGGCGATCGAAGGCAGTGGCTGGCGATCGTGAGAAAGGGGGGAGGGGGCGTCGGCTGTACAGGTTTGCTTCGGTGGTTTCCTTCTTTAATTTTGCCTCATCTCGGGCCGTAACCCGATAGAAGGGAGACAATAGCAGCATTTGTCGGTCAAGGGAATGAGGGGTGTTTGAGGCTGCTTTTGGTCGTCTAAGGGAGAGTTGTCGGTGCTTTTCTCGTGACAGTTTCTCAGCAATTTAAGCCTTGCTAGGAGGCTATTTTGGGTGTCAATGGTACTTGAAAATACAACAAGCAGGTGGTGGGTGTTAAATTAACGAAACAAGGATGGAGATGGGGCTGGAACAGTTGAGAATCGGAGATGGAGAGGCCGACATCCCGTTTTTCCATCTTTCCTGAATTGTGGCTTCAAGGGAAGGCAGAGAGAGGGGGAGAGGGTGGGACCCTTTATTAAATAAATATATTTTTTTTAAATAACAAAAAACTTCATAAATGGTCCCTCTTTTGTGAAATGACGGAAATACTCTTCACTTAACGGCCAAAAGCTAATGGAGTTAGCGAAAAGGACCATTTGTTAAAAGTTTTGAAACTACAAGAACCATCTGTGAGTTTTTTTGAACTTAAGGACTAAACTTAATATTCTTGAAAACCATAGGGACCATTTTTGAAGTTAGATAATGGTCACATGCTATTGGAGCTTGTTAGGTCTACATGAAAATGACCCAAAAAGGCCCACCGACTTACGAACGCAGAGAGTTCCCTTGTGGAACGCTGGGCGTTCCTTCGCAATCTAGGTCGCGAGTCTCAATGGGAACGCAATGTGTTCCCAACGCGTTCGTGCCCTGATTCAAAAACTGGCCATTAAGCACTTAATGCTTAAGCCATGCTATCCAAATATAGATCCAAACTATTTAAGACCTCCTAAATCATAAAGTCACGGACTTGACGAATTTGCATGCACCTAAAAGTCCCAATCTCGAGAAATAGCAATCAACTTCCATAAAGATGGTCACAACTCTTGCATGGACCCATTAGGACCTTAAAGATGGCAATTTTCCTACCTAAGGGACTCAATTAGCCTCATGGGTGGCACTCTAAGTCCATAAATGAATTTGAAACATAAAAATTCATTCTTGAAACCAAGAAGGGACAATATCCATGAGAAACTAGATCTATGATGTAGAAGCACCAAGATGAGAACTTTATACCTTCAATAGACTGGAAATGATACAAAACCTCTGGATCTACAAGCTCTCTTCAATCTCTTGCTTCTTCTCTAAACACCTTCTTCTTCAAATCACCCAAACAACACCAAAAATACTCAAGGTAGGCTCAAAATGCATGCAAGAGGTTTAGGGTTTTGTTCTTAAGGTTAGATAGGATGGAGGCTAAAGGAAATAAGGGTTGGGGTGAGTTAAGGTGTTTAAATAGGGTCCAAGACCCGAAATTTAGGGTTTAGTATGCCCAGAAGAACGCAGGGCGTTTCCATATGCACCGCGTCCATTTTCCTCTTGAACGCCATGCGTTCGTACTTGGTACGCCATGCGTACACGGTTTGGCCCAAATCCTTCTAACTTCAAATAATCATAACTTCTTCGTTATAACTCCGATTTTGACGTTCTTTATATCCACGAAAAGCTAACGAGAAGCCATACGCATCTATTATAACATCCATCAAATTTACACCAAATTTAAACTTTTAATTTTAACAAAAGAAACAAATAGTAATCGTTTTTACAAAACATTTCCAAATCAATTATCATCAAAGTGTCCCAAAACAAATCATAAGGATGAGGAGTGGTACGGTCACGCCTTCGCCTTCCCTTGATCTCCTAAAGTACCTGAAACAATAAACTGAAAACTGTAAGCCCGAGGGCTTAGTAAGCTACCCCCCAAAATACCAATACCGAATTGTCAGAAACCATATCAATAATGATCAATCGATCAACATGCATATTGGGCCATCGGCCTGACTGGTCCGCCCTACTGGGCCTACAGGTTATCTAAATCTATCCCGAGCCTTCGGCATGACTGGTCCGCCACATGGCCTACAGTCTCCCCGGACCGCTCGTAGGGTATGTTGGCATTCAGCACAAAGTAGGACCGCCTCAACCCAGCCCACAAGTAAATAACCATGTGTGCATACTTTCTTAAAT